TATAACCTGCACATCCTTTAAGTTCTTCTTCTTTTCGAGCTGGCTATAAAAAAACGACAAGTCCTTGTATTTCTACTTAATTTCACCGTGTGCCGTGCCGAGGTAATAAATTGCCTTTTCTGCACTTTTGCACATAAATAAAAATGGAAATTAAATTTTTGTTTAAAGCAGCTGACTGACTGAGGGAGAGAAAGGACAAGGATATCATCAACGGTATTGCTGTTTTTGTTGTTGTCGTTGTCATCATCATCATGAGCAGCAACAACAACATCAGCTCTGTGTCACAAGACGCCATAATGGTCGTCATTGTCATCGTTGCTTGTTTGGATGGATGGCTGATGGTTATTGTCGCTGACTTTCACTTGCCATGCAGTGAGTCTCTCCTTCCCCTCCACTCTCCCTCACCTCTCTCACTCGCCTCACTTGAATTTTTTGCGTTCATATTGCTGATGTTTTTGCAACAGCACTTAACATTATTAATGAAATAATCTGCCTCTATGGGATTGCGCCCCTGTAACACCAGGGTTGCCAAATATTTGGGGAAAAACTGAAATTGCAAGGCTACCAAAAGTAGCAAAACGTACAAAGCAAAGGTATAACGCTGATGGTAATGGTGAAACAAAAAAGATATTGGCAAATCGTACTAACATAATGGGTGGACATAAATATTGGCTTTTGGACATTCGTATCTAAAATATGTGGATAGTACTAAACTGTACTAAATATCTGGTATAGAGTACTACATATTTCATGCAAAATGATGTAAAAAATTGATTTTGAAAAAAAAAAAATTGGACCTTCGCCAATGCTAATTGTGATATTTTGTAAAACTGGTTTTCAAGTACCTACTAACTACAAACATTATGGCCTTCTTTCAAATATTTTTTTCAAGGACATCCTCGACCAAATAAATTGTATTTTTTTTTTAAATAAACATAAATCGGCGATTGTTTCAAAATAGATGTCCCATATTTTTTTTTAAGGAAGCCCTAACATATAAATATTTCTTAAAAATTTCATGACTTCAAAAATCATAGATTTTTAAAGAAAATTTCCAGGATTTCTCGGTAGAATAAATCGGGAAAGTTAACAGAATTTTCCAAGGGCTTCCTTGGTCATATAAAACGTGGATCTAAAATTTTTTTTGTTCATCCCTACTATATGTAGGACTTCTAGTCCAATAAAATCGCGGATTTTTCCACATTTTTTTAAGGACTTCCTGTAGACAAAAATCTTGTTTTTCTATACCCTCCACCATACTTTGTCATCCCGTTTGTAACTCCACGAAACATTTCTGTCAGACCCAACAAAGTAAATATACTCTTGATCAGCGTAAAATTCTAAGTCGATTTAGCGGTGTCCGCCTGTCTGTCTGTCTGTTGTAATCACACAATCTTTCGAACGAACTGAGATAGAAGCCTAAAATTTTGCACACATGTTTATTTTTCCAATAGGCAGGTTTAGTTCGTAAATGGGTCATGTAGGTTCACGTTTTCATATCGCCACTATATAACGGTACCTCCCGATATTCGGTATTTTGATGATTTTAGCGACATTATTCACCGGCATTGTTTCAACTTTGGTATTTGAAGTTCGTACTGAATACTACAGCCTAAGACAGAAAATTGTCTCCCATATAATGGTAACTCCCGATATTCGGTATTTTGATGATTTTAACGACATTATTCACCGGAATTGTTTAAAATTTGATATTTGAAATTAGTACTGGATACTACAGACTAAGACAGAAACATGTCTATGCAGGTCTAGGTCTTCGTATAGCCCCCATATAACGGTACCTCCCTATATTCGGTATTTTGATGATTTTAGCGACATTATTCACCGGAATTGTTTAAAATTTGGCATTTGAAGTTCGCAATAGCTACTACAGCCTAAGACAGAAAATTGTCTGTGCAGGTTCACGTCTTCGTATAGCCCCCATATAATGGTACCTCCCGATATTCGGTAATTTGATGATTTTAGCGACATTATTCACCGGAATTGTTTCAAATTTGATATTTGAAATTCGAAATGGATACTACAGCCTAAGACAGAAAATTGTCTATGCAGGTCTAGATCTTCGTATAGCCCCCATATAACGATACCTCCAATATACGGTATTTTGGTGATTTTAGCGACACTATTTACCGGCATTGCTTCAAATTTGGTAATTGATGTTTGTAATAAATACTACAGACTATGACAAAAAATTGTCTGTGCAGGTCCACGTCTTAGTATAGCCCCCATATAATGGTACCTCCCAAAATTCGGTATTTTTATGATTTTAGCGTCATTATTCACCGGAATTGTTTTAAATTACGCATTTAGTGTTGGAAATGGGACCTACAGTCTGTGACAGAAAATTGTCTATGCTGGTCCAGGGCTTCGTATAGGCTCCATACATCAGTACCTCCCTATATTCGGTATTTTGACGAGTTTAGGTACAATACCCACCGAAATTGTTTGAGATGTCGTATTTGAAGTTCGTAATAGATGCCACAGCCTATGACAGAAAATTGTCTATGCTGGTCCAGGTCTTCGTATAGCTCCGATATAACAGTACCTCCTTATATACGGTATTTTGATTATTTTAGCTACATTATTCATCGTTTATTTCAAGTTTCGAACTTGAATATGGTAATGGCTTATGACAAACAATGCCTATATAGGTCCACGTCGTATAGACCCCAATATAAGGGCTATATTCGGTATTTTTAAAATTTTAACAGATTTTTTTAAGGATTTTATTTTGGGAAAATTTCCAAATTCGTTCCAAATGGCCCGGCCGAACTTACTGCTTTTTAACTTGTTTAAATTGATTTTTCAAGTAATAGTAGTGGATTTTTTATATAATATAGTGGATTTATTTCAAGAACTCAATTGTTATACATAAATCGTTGTTAGCTCTATCCGTTCGCTTAATACCAAATGGCACCATAGTAGAAGTTCAGTACTATTTAAGAACTTTTCCTAATCTAAAAGTTCAAGTTTCCAAAAAAAAAAAAGAAAAAAAAAAAAAAAAACATTTGTTACATCTGCCCTGCGCTTCATCAGTGACTATTTTACAAAATATCCGAATTTTGGCTCATTCCGTTTGTCCAATACAAAGTATTCATTTCAAAGTACATTTTAGTATAGAACTAATTAGTACACCTTCATATCTAAATTCCAGTTATCAACAGTGACCTATATATTAAATTTTAGGATTTCAGCTCTACCCCATCCCCTAATATTAAATTGTGTACCATTTAGTACGTTTCCAATAACTTCAGTACTCATTTGCAAAACCACCACCAGATCTCAATCCTAGTAAATTTAAAATTCACTCTTTCAGCTCTATCCCATCACCCAATACTAAATAAACTACTATTTAGTACTTTTCGTGCGATTATAGCACACATTCTCAAAACCACCTCCATATCTTTGCCATGGGCACCAACAGTGGCATTTATATCAAATTTCAGGAGTTCAGTTCTTTAGTACCATTTTGTATTTCCTAAAATTATAATACACTTTTCCAAAACCGCCTCCATATCGCAATCCTAAATACCAACGGAGACATGAATATCAAATTTGAAGAGTCCTATCTTAAATCCTTGCCTAATACCAAATTTAGTACCAATTAGTACTTTTCGAACAAATGTACGACGCATTTCCATAACACCGCAAAAACTCATACACCACTACCATCAATAAGCAAAATATCAAGTTTTAGGAATTTATCTGTGCCCCTTTACCTAATACCAAATATAGTACTATTTAATACTTTTCGTACTATTATAGTACAGATTCCCAAAACCACCTCCATATCTTTACTACAAACGCCAAGAGTGACGTCTTATCAAATTTCAGGATTTCAGCTCTGTTCCTTCACCCAACAACAAATTTAGTACTAATTAGTACTTTTCTTACAATCATAGTACACATTTTTGGACCCACCTTCATATCCCAATTCCAGTTACCAACAGAGAGACCTCTATATGCAATTTCAGGATTCCAGTTCTACCCTTACACCTAATACCAAATATAGTAGCATTGCGTACTTTTCGAACAATTATAGTGCCCATTTCCAAACAATGGTCAAATCTCATGCTCAGATGCCATTAGTAATCTAAATAACAAGTTTCAGTATTTTATCTCTAACCCTTCACCTAATACTTAGTATAGAACCATTCTGTACTTTTCGTACACATTTCCGTTATCACCTCCATGTGTCCAGGCCACACACATGGACAACGACCCTAATACCACATTTCAAACTGCAAGCACTAAATGTTCACTATGTTCAATAACAAATTGTACCAAATATAGTACTTTTTGTACACTTGTAGTATAAATTTCTAAAATCATCCCTCTTTATCACAAACCTACACATAATTTCAAAATTCCAGCTTTATCCGTTCACCCTACAGCAAACTGTTACAAATTTTATACCATATAGTACAATTCGCACACTTAGTACATATTTCCAAAACCATCTTGATCTATCGAACTTATTTGATTCTCATAAAAAATTTCAAGTTTTTACCTCTTTCCATTCACATAATACCAAATGGTAACATTCTAGAGATTTTGTACCATTTTAGAACTTTTCGTAGCTTTGAAATTCGAATTGCCAAAGATCCATTGGTTCACCTATCCTGCACTCCATCAGTTCCATTTTTTTCTTGCATTCTAGAACAAAGTATTCAATTTTTAGCACATTTTAGTACTTTTCGTACGCTTTTAGTGCGAATTTCTAAAAACCCTGCCTATTTACACGCCTACGCATTAAGGCTGACTCTCTCTCGCTCTCTCTCTAGATTCTATATTAACGTTTTAAAATTTTTTTATTTCGAGTATTCCGAGTGGTGGCTCTCACCATCCACGCCAATATCAGCATCATCATCAGTTTTTATTGTTTCAAAGTTGTGTTTTTTTTTTTGCACTCAATAATATATGATTTTTTTTTATTTAACTTTTTTCCCTTTACCCACTTTTTTGTCGCCCCCTTTTAATAGCAACATTGTTCTGGAAAAATGGCACGAAGAGTATGTACAGCTGCGTGACATTATTGATAAATGCCTTTTGCGTATGCTTCGAAATGGTGCGATAGGATGCGGAGGAGCAGGAGCAGGAAATGCAACAACAACATCCCCACTCACAGCCGAAATGCAACAACGTTTGCAAACGTTGAGGCAAACACAAATGGAACAGGAAGTGTTAAAAGCATTGGGTAAGTAAACCATGCACCAATAACCAACACCCACCCCCCCTCCCACCCCAAACCAGCAGCCATGTTCTCCACCAAGTTTTCCCACTGAGCCAATTAGTCACTCACAGTCTCTCTCTCTCTTTCCCGCTCTATAATGTTATAAACTTTAAATGACCATTAAATACGAAAGACATCCATTCATTTATTAATTAAAATCGATGCATGAAAGGTTGAAAGGATGAATGGATGGTTGGTTGGATGGTTGGATGTTTGTTCCTTTTGGTGGATGAATGGCTGCACTGGGTAGCCCTTGAATTGACGTCACATTGATGTCCTTTTTTTGTCGCTTCTGCTGCTGTTCCATTCAAATAATTTAATCAATTTATTTTCTCTCTTCACATAACAACATCTTAATTGGTTGCGATTGTTTACTTTCTCTTCCCCCCCCCCCCTCCCTCTCTCCATCCCTCCCTCGCTGCACAAACAGAACTGTCAAATGAGAAAATACTGGCCGTCTATCGTGAATGGTCGTCGACACAATTGACCGTCAAGGATGCCGAAAGTGCGGAGCGTTTGAGCAAACTCAAAGATCAATTGACAATGAATTTATCAACGGATAATTATACAACATTGGTGTGAGTATTAAACAAATTGAGATATAAATAAACAAATTTATGTTTACACAGATATATAGACAAGGCCTTTGGAAGGCTTCCGAAACAGGGAATATTTATTAAAGATATTCTAAGTAAAGAAAAGAGGTATTACAGGACTTCAGGTTATAAAAGAATTTTCAAAAGAAAGAATTTTCAAAAGGATTTTAGGCAACATAATAACCCTTCTAGGTTCTGGGCATAGAAAAGCTTTTAAACTGCTTCTGGTAGGAGAAAAACTTTTAATAGCCTGGCTAGAGAAGAACTTTAATAACTTTTTTCTAGCTCTATAAAGGCTTCTGTAAAGCAAAGAGTTTTCAATAGTAGTCTGTCCATTGAAAGGGTTACACAGGTTTTAAAATTACTTTTGACCATAGAAAGACGTTAAAGGGTCTTCCTTCCTCTGGAAGGTATTTTGTCGATAGAAGAGATTTTGAAAAATTTCCAGCTACAGAAGACCGTTCAAAAGTTGTCTGTCTAAGGGCTTTTAAAAATATAAATTTTTTGGAGGAGCTTTTTCATGTTTTCCAACTACAGAAGACCTTCCACAACGATTCTGTCTAAAATCTATGAAAAGTATTATTTTTCAGAGTAGATTATGGTCTACTGTCAATAATATCTTGCTCAATGGCATTTTGTGGGCAGAAGACCTTCTAAACGTTTTCCAGCTACAAAAAACTCTTGAAAAGCTCTCTGTTTAAGAGCACTTAATAATATTTTTAGAGGATCTTTCAAAAGTTTCCCAGCCACAGAAAACCCTCGAAAAGTCGTCTCTCTAAAAGCTCTTTAAAAATATTCTAAGAGGAGCTTTCAAAGTTATTACAGTCCTTCTAGGGCTAAAAGACCTGTTACAGCTCTTCTAGGGCCAGAAGACCTGTTACAGCTCTTCTAGGGCCAGAAGACCTGTTACAGCTCTTCTAGGGCCAGAAGACCTGTTACAGCTCTTCTAGGACCAGAAGACCTGTTACAGCTCTTCTAGGGCCAGAAGACCTGTTACAGCTCTTCTAGGGCCAGAAGACCTGTTACAGCTCTTCTAGGGCCAGAAGACCTGTTACAGCTCTTCTAGGGCCAGAAGACCTGTTACAGCTCTTCTAGGGCCAGAAGACCTGTTACAGCTTTTCTTGGGCCAGAAGACCTGTTACAGCTCTTCTAGGACCAGAAGACCTGTTACAGCTCTTCTAGGACCAGAAGACCTGTTACAGCTCTTCTATGGCTAGAAGACCTGTTACAGCTCTACTAGGGGCAGAAGACCTGCTACAGTTATTTTAGGGCCAGAAGACCTGTTACAGCTCTTCTAGGGCCAGAAGACCTGTTACAGGTTACAGAAGACCTGTTACAGCTCTTCTAGGGCCAGAAGACCTGTTACAGCTCTTCTATGGCTAGAAGACCTGCTACAGCCCTTCTATGGCTAGAAGACCTGTTACAGCTCATCTAGGATCAGAAGACCTATAAAGCACCTATGTACATAGCGAATCTCTGTCCCCTATCTATTGGGACAATAAAGGCATTTTTACCACTAGATGGTCCTCTCTGAACAAAAGACTCTTAAGCGGTCATACATGGCCACTTTGAGGTGCTCTCTCATAGAGGTTTTTAACAAATACATAGAGGACCATTTGAAAGTCCTCTAGAGTCAACATATCTTTATAAAGACCTCTGTAATCAGAGACATCTCTAAAGTCTCCTCTTTAATACTCCTCTATAATAATAATAATACTCCTCTTCAATAATAATATATCTATACTGATACCTCCAATATAGATGACCCTATAAAGGACCTTTTTATATAGAGGATCCTAAAAATGTCCCCTGCTCATAGAACCTATAAAAAATTTTTTTTAGCTCGGGATGGTCACTTTGAACTACCACTTTAAGGCCCTCCCTGGTAAAGATCCTTGACATTCTCATAGAGGACGATTTGAAGGAACTCCAGAGTCAACATATCTATCTAAGGTCTTCTCTTTGAAGATTTTTCCTTTCACAGGACATCTATAGCTAGAAGAGATTTTGTTCATACGTTGCCTACAAACATACCTCTTATAGAGAGGACCCTGTAAAGGACCTATGTACATATAGGATCCTTAAAATGTCCCCTGTCCAAAGGCGGTTTTGGTCCACGTCGGACAATGGTCTTTAATATCGACTGTCCAAAGAGAACCATTTAAAAATATTTTGTTTACAGTGGACCCTTCTAAGGTCAATAAATGGTCTTTTGGGGGAGATTTGTTCATAGTAAAACTTGTTAAGGTTCTATGACTATCCTTTCAGAGGTGCTCTTACTTTAAAAGGGGATTTTTACAATGTTCTATTCAGGTCCTCAGTCTAGAAAGGACCATTTAAAATTCGTTTGTCAACAAATCGTCTTTAAAAAATTCATTGACTATAGAGGTCTTCTAAAAGACCTATTTTGGGGACCACAGCAGTTTTTTGTTCCTCTTTTTTAATTTTTTTTGCTCTTCTTGCGCTCTCTTCCCTTTTTACAGAGTACCTGGTAACTGTTGTGATACTGGCATTGATCCCGACATTGAGGAACACGAAACCTATTTGAGTAAATTCAAGAATAAAGTTTTCGACAAATTGCGGCATTTGATTGAGGAGCACATTGCCAATGATCCGGATGTTATAAAGGGCCGGAAAAAGACTGTACAGGTAAGTGGGTGGGTGTCGAAAGCCCCCCAATTTATGTGGTGGACTATGCCACCAATCTGAAACAACAACAACAACATAAAATGAAAATAAATCCCTTAACTGACATCTGGGGCTAGCAATAAGTTATGAAGCATTGAGGGAAAAGGAGCTTAGGGGATAAAAATCTCCGCTTATGATTTCCTCTTCCCTGGCCAATACATCGAGCATAGCCTTGATTGTTGTTTTTTTTTTTTTTTTTTTTGTGGACATTTGCAATGTGAAAAGTGGCGAAAACTTGGCCATACATGAAAAAAAGATTGGAAAACAAAAAATGCATTTTTCCGATATGTTCGTTAACTTTTTCTCCATCCAACCGGGTATTGGTTGTTATAACATTTTCCGTAGACAATTTGAAAGGCGAAATTGGGGTACACATTTTTTTCTCCCCTACAATGCCCCTAATATGGCATGAAAATTTTCTACATCAAAAAAATGGTTTAGAAATATTAAATTAAAACCAGTAAAAAAGTCTTAAAGTCGGGCGGGGCCGACTTTATGATAACATACACCACTTTGCTAATTTGGTAGAGCTCCACATAACAATTAAAATTTTTTTATGGGAGAATTCAATCACACACGCTATGATAATAATTATAATTTAAAGTTCAAAGGATTAAATATGCCGAAGCTTTTATTTCTTTTAAATTCAGACTTTTATTGCACATTTGATATATATGGGAGCTATATCCAAAACTGAGCCGATCTTGATTAAATTTGGCAAATATATTTCTGAGCTGTATTTGATATATTTCCCTGAATATGGTTGTTACGGAGTGCATATTACGGCTGTGGGTAACAAATATAACTAATCGGATGAACAATATATATGGGAGCTATAGTATATCTGAACCGAATTTAACATTAACCAAATTTAACATACTAGCTTCTAGACTGAATTCGGTCGTAAGTGCCAAATTTCATCTCATTTGAGCAAATATTAGACGTTTGGTGCACAATAAAATGTAAATCGGACGAAGTTATATGTGGGAGATATATCCAAATCCAAACCGATCTCGATAAAATTTAGCAAAGGTATTTCTGAGCTGTATTTGATATATTTCCCCAAATATTGTTGTAATACTAAAATAACAAATCGGATGAAAAATATATATTGGAGCTATAGCTATATCTGAACCAATTTCGATCAAATTTGCCATACTTATTTTCAGGCCTAATTTGGTTGTATGTGCAAAATTCCATACTATTCGGGCTGATATTGCACGTTTGGTGCACAATAAAAGGCAAATCGGACGAAGATATATATGGGAGCTATATCTAATTTTTTACCGATTATCTCCAAATTCAGTAGGTTTCTTCCTTGGGCCGAACAAATGATTTGTGCAAAATTTCATCTGAGTGGCGTATATCGACTCAGAATGTGATTCATCTATAGACAAGCAAATCATATAGATGAGTCTAAATTTGGAGATTCAGATGGGCTTCTTGCTTTTGGAGATGATTGCAAAAAACATAGGGGCTCAAATTAACCAAAAACAGAAATGTTTTTCCGATCACACAATTGAAGAATTATAGCATTCTGGATGACCATTGGATTATATTTAGCTGTAAAATAGACCACAACAACTAACATCCCGTCGGAGTCCCTAGTCAAAATCCTAATTTCAAAAGCGAAATCTTCCAAATCCATATGGACATAATGGGGCTTCTAACATATTGTAGTGTTGTAGGGTATAACATAGTCGGCCCCGCACGACTATAGCCTTTGCTTACTTGTTTTGTAATTGAAATATTTATTTCAAAATTGCGTCTATGATTCACTGCACCTACATAATAAAGCTCAATTGGATATTCAGTTGCAATTCGAAAATAAGGTCTTCAGACTGGAAGACTAAAGGTGAGACTACATAAAACGCTTCTTTGAAAGGTTTAAGTCATCGGCTGGCTTTTTCATAGAGAAACATAAGACTTTTAGGATGACTTGGCACTAGGCTCCTTTGTTCTTTTCCGAAGAAGCCAGTCGATGACTTCATTCATTTAAAGAAGCGTTTTACGTATTCTCACTTTAAAAGCTCTTTAAAAATATTATTAAAAAAAAATGTAGCGCTTCAAAAATAATTTAGAAAAATTATCGGCGGTTATATATAGCCCTGATATCTTTTGAATAATAATATTTTAAATATCCGTGATAGCCCTTCTAATAATCTAAAATAAAACATAGAAATTAATGACTATGGCGTCAATATTTCAGAAAAATTTTAAATAATATTTAACAAGTTAAACTTTTAAATCCTCCACCATTTTAAAGGAACTTTAAAATTTTTAAAAAAATCTGTCGAAAAATACCACTTAAATGAAAATCGTTATATGGGGGCTATAAGTGGACCTGCAAAAGAAACTCTTTTGTCATAGGCTGTAGTACCGACTCCGAATACGAAATTTGAAAATCATCAAAATACCGAATAAAGGGATGTGGCGTTATATGTGGGCTATACAAAGACGTGGACCTGCATAGATAATTTCCCTTCATAGGTTGTAGTACACATTACAAGCTTCAAATTTTAAATACGAAATTTAAAACAATTCCGGTCAAAAATGTCGCCTAAATCATCAAAATATCGGAAGCTACAGTTGTTTGGTGGCTACGCGATATCGTGGACCTATATAGACAATTCTCTTCAAGGGGGTGCAGTAATCAATAGGAACTCCTGGTGGGGATTTTGCGACAACTTCATTGAAATCTCTGGCTACAATCATCAACATATCAAATATCGGGGGTAACTTTATACGGGTGTGAGATCAAAAAACTGCAACCAACTTCAGACTGCTGTCATTTCTAAACCACTCGTCCGACAGCCGTTAAAATCATTTCAGTGACAGCTCACTTTATTGTTTACAAGCGTACAAAAGCGTTTTGATGAGCATTTTCCAGAAAAAAAAATAGTCGTGATGGAATCCAAGCGTGATAGTGTGATTTCTTTATATTTGGCTGGAAAACCAATAGTAGCTATCGTTAGAGCACTCCATAATTTACATGTGATTAGATCTTTTGTGTCTCGTACCATCGCTCGTTACTGGTAGGGTAGCAGGACGTTAAGGAAGTGGACGGAAGAAAACACCAACATCAGCAGAAATGGTTCGAAAAGTAAAGAAGCGACTTGATCGAAAACCGCGTCGCAGTGGTTGAAAAATGGCTTGTGAGCTGAACATATCGCAATATTCCATTCGGCAAATATTGAAATCCCAAAAAGAGGAGAGGGTATATATTATTTGTTACGGTCAAAACGTGCCTCATCGAAATAATGGTTTTAGAGCCTAGGTCTCTTTGAATCAAATCCGTTTCAAGACATTTGAAGTCGATCTAGCGATGTCCATCCGTCTGTCTGCCTGGCTGGCTGGCTGGTGCAAAAGAACTGTCGAGAGAGTATCCGATTTGGTCCAAACTTGGTATATGATAATATTATTGTCAAACTTAAATCATGTTCGGCGATGGGCAATATCGGTCCACTACTTATGACACCTTCTCCAGAAAATGTCGAAATTTAAAAAAAAAAAAAATCTTGCACAGAAAGAGAATTGCAAATATATTAATATTTGCATTAGTGCTAAGTCAGGTGCGAAAAAGGAGAATATCGGTCCATTCCATCATGTACCTTCCCCATAAAGGGTCAAAATCTTGAATAATTATATCTAATCAAAATGTGATGTAAGAGTCCGATTGTTTTCAAATTGCACACATCACAATATTTTTGTTATCTCAAGGCCTGGTGTGAAAATGGATTAGATCGGTCCACTCCTTCTGGTACTTCCTCCACAAAGAGTCAACATTTTGAATATCCATGAAACTCATAAAACGCGGAATGGACATCCTGTTCCATTAAGAATTTGTACTTCTCAATATTTCCATCAACACAAGATTTAAATTTAGGTCCGATTCAAAATGGACAATATTGGTCCGTTCCTTCCTACTCCATAGAGGGTCAACAATATGAATATTCATAACATAATTCAAAATATATTAATAAAATCGATCATTGGCTGAGTTTATAAATCTGTTGGCGAACCCCACTAATACTTTTTAACTGTTTTTTTTTTTTTCTGTTCTTTAAGGATGCTTTAAATTTTCTCTAACTTTGTCCCGGACCCTACAAGACATTTCAAATCTCTTAAAAGAAAAAGTAGAAATAAACAAAACAAACCGACCATTTTTTTAAATCCAAAAAAAAAAAAAATCACAATTATAGTCTTGATAAGCCTTCAACATTTTAATTAACAATTCCACGACTTTTGAACTCGGAGTCCTTCAGAAGTAATATTAAAACTGCTACGAATATAGCACTGATTTTCTGCTTAAAAAAATAAAATAAAAATTCTCAGGCATAGCCCACCTTTCTTTTAGTGAAGAACTTTCAAGGTCCTCTGATATAATTCAAAAAAAATATATATTTAAAAAAATCCACGATTACGACCTTGATAGCCCTTTAAAAGTTATAATTTTTAAATCCGCGATTATTGCCATGATAGCCCTCTACAATATATTTTTTTTTTTCACTTTAAATTAAATAGCCTCGATTTTCCTTCAAAATTTATATTTAAAAAATCGCAATTATAGCCCTGAGAAAGCTTAAATTTTTTTTATTAAAAACGTCCACGACTTTTGCCCTCAGAATCCTTAAGAAATAATATTGAAACAAGTAAAAAAGCAGTAATTTCGGCCGGGCCGAACTTTGAATACCCACCACCATTTAGAACGAATTTGAAATTTTTCGAAAAAGATAACATTTGCTAAAAATTCTGTTAACATTTTAAAATTCTGTTAACATTTTAAAAATACGACGTGCACCTACATAGGCATTGTTTGTCACAAGCCATCACCATATTCAAATTCGAAACGTGAAATAAGCGTAAATCGTCTAAATACCGTATATAAGGAGGTACTGATATATGGGGCCTATACGAAGACCTGGACCTGCATTGATAATTTTCTGCGTTAGGCTGTAGAA